GTTACCGGTAAAAAAAAAAAAAAAAAAAAAAAAACTTATAGTGGCCATAACCCAACTTTCCTGTTCTGTTCAGGGAGTGTTTTTGTATATATCATCACATTCCTTCTTACAACTCTCTTGATTTTGGTTTCAATTTCGTTCTCTGAAGAAGCATTCTCAATCTCAGCTTCCCTGTGTTGGGTTTCCGGAGAGGCGAAGAAAAGGAAAGAAAAACCTAATATAGAAGAAGAAGAAGAAGAAGAAGAAGAACATAGAAGAAGTTGAATTTTGGGGTTGATTTGTGGATTCTTTCTGTGAGGATTGAGGCTCCTTCCGTTCCTTCTATATACTTTCCTCATTCTTCATCTTCATTTTATCCCTTTCCCTTCTGTATATCATCTCATGCTTCCGACTTTCTGCTAATTCCGCTACTCCACAATCTTCACCTCACACCCTTTAATGTGTAATCTCTTTTCCTTCTCTAATGTTCATACTTTTCTGTTTTCTTTCCGATTCGTCTCGCGCTTGCTTTTTTGATAAGTAACACACTCTTTTTTCTTTTTTGTGTTTTGTGTTTTTCTCAGGATTCTGGATATTGGGTGGTGATCTGAGCACAGGTTTGGATGGGAATTTTCGCTCTTGTTTTTCTCTTTTCGAAGTTATACTGTTTTTTTAGTATTTAGATCTGCCTTTTGCTTGTTTCTCTTGTTGAATGAGCAACTTCTTGTGTAGGAATTTTGATTCTAATCTGAGTTCGAAGCATGGTTTTCTACTGAAGGCGGAGGAATTCTTTTCGGAGATGAAGAGGTCTAGAGACGACGTTTATATGGGCTCACAACTCAAGCGTCCTTCGATTTCCACTCGTCCAGAAGCGTAAACCTCATCGACCTTCTGTATTTTCCTGTATTATTATTATTATTTTCGTTTAATTCTAGTTAAATATGACACTTCCTCGTTGTTAATTACTGATGTTTCTTTTACGAACATGGAGATCAAACTGATGGATTACCTTTCCGTCCGTAAAATTTGTAATGGTTTGAATTTTTTATGAATCCCGGATGAAATTTAGTTTCTTATGAAAAGAAAATTTCACGATTTCCTTTCTTTTCAAAATTTTATTGAGTAACTAGGGTTTTCGAGAAGTTCCAGAAAACTTCTTTCTTTGTTCAACTCGCGAAGAAAAACATCTTTCGTCTGTTCCTGTTTTCTGCTTTGTAGTTAATTCTTAAGTTCAATGCTTTTGAGGTATTCAAATGGGAGTGTCCTAAGTAGAATCCAACTACACTCAAACTTTTGCATGTTGTACTGATAATCTGTGCCATAGAGTTTTTGATTTTGAGTCACTTCAGTCATAGAAGCACTTATTTGTGTAATCTGTGTTGGAAAATGAAGATCTACACAACCCCAAATGGCTGGAGGAGGAAGTGCCCAGAAATTAACCACTAATGACGCCCTAGTATATCTCAAGAGAGTGAAGGACATATTTCAAGACAAGAGACAACAATATGAAGACTTCCTTGAAGTTATGAAAGATTTCAAGGCCCAAAGGTATTTCATAGTCTACGCTTCATTTAGCCCATTTCCCCCCTCTGGTTTTTGACTTCTTTCCAAGTAGCACAGTTTACACCTTGGGGGAAGGACATTTGTGAGAGGGAGCTATTTGTTGATTTAATTTTTTTTTTT